TAGCATAGCTGCCAACCCGCCTACGTGCTTGCTTGCCACGCGCCGGGGCTTAATGCAAGCGATTTCCCAACACAATCAAATGGCTCTCTGTCCCTTTTATTGCACTAAACCTATCCCTTCTGCTTAATGAAGGCTAGCCTATTCGCTTTCAAGCCGTAGCTATCCTTTTTCGTTAGTAGTGTGAATACAACTGGGCGAACGAAACCCAGTTTACAGCGATACAGTGCATTCCAGAGTATAGCTGGCAACCATCTTATCGGGTATAGCGCGGCTCGTAAGTCTTGCGGAAGTGAATCAGCGGCATCCCAGCGGTGTACGGGGAATCACAGATAAGTCAAGAGAGCAGAAGTAGCATTTCGGGGGGGGTGTGGGAGAAAGCGAAACCGGGTAGCACAACAACAAGCACAAAAAGGGGCGCTACTGGTTACGAGAGGCAGTGAGTATTTCCAGAAAGTGCAGAAGTTGAGAATGTGTCTGTTTAGGAGATTGCGGGATAAGAGGACCAACTGGTGGCTTTGTGGTGTAGTGGTAGCATACTTCGTTTGGGTCGAAGTGGTCTCGGGTTCGATCCCCGACAAAGCCCTCTTTTCTCGCTTTTTCCTACAGCATCACGGAACATGATCAGTAGCGCTCGCCGCGGAGGCGGACTTTGCGTTGCTGCGTCTTCGCGCGTGCCGTTCTGCCTTCTCGACTTGCGGCGTCCGTGTCCGCGGACGGTGCTTTTACTCACGTTTCTGTCGCGCCATGAGTTGCTTTTAGTACTCGAACATCATCAAACAGTACTCGGGCTGTCGCCATACGAAGGTTTTTGATTTTCTTTCGTTACTCGACCTTACATTCACATGTGCGCATAGTCGTGACATCAGCCTCTGGGCCGAAAAGTAATAGGAGGATTGTGCGTTGAGAAGAGCTGTCACGGCTTGATCCGACTGCTAACTTTCAGATTCGTGTTATTCCAAAGTCTTCGACACACTTGCTTATACTTTGGAAACTATCCACTTGACTGATTTAAAGCAATTGTGCTTGTAAGGTATTCAATGGATTTCCCGTTGAACCGGTACAAGTATTGATATTAATAAACGGATCTCAATCTAAGTTCTATGTATTGATTTACTCTCCTGTTCACGAATTGGAGAATTAATTATTAATACCATCCCAGTAATGGTATTCGGAGAAACTGTTATTAAAACAGCTCCAATCACCGACTCGAAAGTTGCGTACTAGAGTCCAAGTGTAACAACAGATTGTCCCGATGTGCGTAAGGCATCATTAAGAATTCCGAGTTCAAGGAAACGACTTACTCCTATATTCAACCTTCAGTTGTGATTGAGAAGGCGTCACCCGTGGCAGAGCTGTCAGGGCCACTAGGAATTTCCAGCAAATACAGGATGTGGCGGATTTATAAAGTTTGAGCTTTGCAAACGAGCTCCACGCTTACTTGATGCAAATTTGTAGTGACTTCTCTTTTCTCATTCTTTTTTTTATATCTTTGATTACACAAGAGAATTAGTTATTCAACATAAACCAAATCAACATTATTACTAAGTTTCATTATTTAAAACGAAACGGTGAACGCCAGAAGATCGGTCGTTCAGTGCTAAGTAGTCTGCACCATTCACTTTGTGCATATACTTCAGTGTATGGATAAATCGCGGTTAATTAAGAATTTATTATATTTTACCAATCTAAACTTGTTGTTGAAGGTGAATAGTTTGTGGCCTAAAGTCGCCATAAAGATCTGAAGTCGAAGCCAAACATTATATTTGTCTTGTGCCGTAACAAAGCAACACGCATCAGTGGTGTAGCGGTAACATCAATGCCTTCCAAGCATTAGCTCCGGGTTCGACTCCCGGCTGATGCAAAAGCGTCCTCGTCTTCCATCGATTTTTGCTTTGCTGCTGCTGTGCTTCTGTTAAATGCCCTTGACACAGTCGGTCTAGTTACCGGCAACCTCTCCATAGCAAACGACAGAGTACTGCTTCTATACTCGACGCGTTATGCTGCAAACCTTTGGCGCTCAAAAAGTTGGGCTGTCCATGAAAACGGTAGTCTCAGCAAGGTTAAGCAAGATAATACAATGTCTTCATGAGTTGCTACTCTTAACCGAGACACGGGTGAACTTTACTGATTATACTCTGCTTGTAACAAATTAGTTATTAATTCATTTTATCTGATTTCCTATTCAAAACCGTCTTCATGCACATTAACAGGATCTGCAATCCGTTGGGACTGCTTGCCCCCTTGGTTGCTTGTAACGCGACGTGGTGCGCCACTTGCGGGTTCGTAGTTCAACGATGCCGCGGTCGCCAGCAATTGTTGGGGACTCAGGCGCGTATCAAATAAGCATAAAGCCTATTGTAAGCCTCGTGAAGCCCGTCACTTAGTATAGTAACGAAATCTTTCTACTAAAGATCGACTAAATGGGCCTCGATTTAGCGTTTGGACTAACGGCAGCAACACTGTAATCCTAGTAAGGTTTTTACGGTAGCCGTTACCAAAAAGGTCGAGTTTAAACTTTATCCGTAATAGAATTTGTAGCTAAAAGGTTTTCTCCAAATATTTCTCTGTTTATACTAACCGCCGTGCAAAGTGGTACTTTACAAAGTGGTACTTTACTAGCACTTTCGTGGTTTGTGCACAGGACGAGTTTGGGATACGCTTCACGACAGTAAAGCTTGATTCTGTGATTTTGTTATTTTGTTATTTTGCATTTTGAATTTGCAATTTACGGTTTACGGTTTAGACTCACATAAATAAATTTCATCGCGTTACTCTGCGAAATATTTACGTTTGTTTATGTTATTCTTTTTCTTTTCTTTTCTTTATAGTTTGTTTTATTTTCTATTTCTCAAGTTTATTTCTATTCTGTCTTATTTACGGAGTAAGCATTGATGGTCAATAGTCCAAGCAAATGCAACACAAACGTTTTGCCGTCCGGTGGGGACAGCCAGGCACATTATACAGCATGCGTTGTTAGATCATTCTCGTGATTGATCTCTCGCCAGCAGAGCCACGCTGGTATTAGGGGGTTTTCAAAATAGACTTGGCAAGTTGCTGATGAATGGTAGAGGAGGCGGCAGCAATGCAAACCGTCAAATCTGGGTCTGCATTGCCGTGGGCCCTAAGGTATTGTTAGACAGCCCGTTGTTGAGCTTTGGTGTTGAGCAGGATGTCACGGGCAATGCTTGGAGTATCTGGCTAGTAGCATGTGTTCGAATACTGGAGCTGCATCCGTCGCATTACGTCATCAAAGGTGGAGTCTGTTGAGAGGATAGCAGAGAGCAGAGAGCAGAGAGCAGAGAGCAGAGAGCACCATCGGCACATCTTGAGAAGCGAACCCAGAAAAGTAGACGACAGAGAGCTGTCAGAGCCAATATACAACTCACATTATGCTCGCTTTGCATGCGAGTCGTCCTGGGTTCAATCCCCAGTGTGTCCATAAGCTTTTGGTTGTTCCGGCGGCCTTGCGCTGTGCGTCTTGGTCAAGAAGCGAACCAGCGGAATGGTTATCCCCAAGAAGCATTCGTCAGCTGTCGTTTCTTGCTCTGGCAGTCGGTAACCGGAGCAGGCCAAAAAAGTTGCGAGGCCAGGTTTCGATCCTGGGACCTACGGGTTGCAACGCTTCTCTGTTCGTATGAGCCCGTCGGAGTTCCACTCTCCTACCTCGCACCCTTGCGTTACTGTCAACGGCGAAGGCCAATATAAGGAGTTTTAACAATCGATTAGAAGTCAACGTACTGGTCGCTAAGACTTCGTAAATGAATATGACGAGGTTGAAGCCATGGGGATAATGTATCCTATTGACCCGTTTAGTATTCGACGGGTGATGAGGTGTGTTTCGTAAAACTTGTGTGTCTGGGGATGACAGATGTGAGGGAGCTGCGTTTGTTCGAAACGTGTGTGTGCTGCTGCATAACTGAGCTTTCCGAGTCTGGTAACGGAAGACAAGCATTTCGACAGCAGAGAGTATTCTGGCAGCAGGAGAGAAGTAGCATTTTATGCAGCAAAGTTGCAATGGGGAAGTGGTTTAGGGTATAACGTTTCATTCGCATGCAGTGCCTTGAAAGCCCCGGGTTCGATTCCCGGCTTCTCCATGCGTTTTACTTTCAGCGCCCGAGGGTGTCTGGATGCCCCGCCTGCTTTCGTTGTGTGTAAGCACTAGTGGGCATTGCCTGCAGAGCAACTTCATTGCAGGCGAGAAATCACCCGGTTCTGTTTGTTTTCGCCTGCGCTTAGTACGTACCGAGCAGGGAACCACATTCTGTGCGTCCTGGGTGAGCCTGGCCCGGACGCACCAAAAGGCAAAGACAAGAAAGCATAAGCTCCCGGCGGGACTCGAACCCACAATCCCATGATTAGAAGTCATATGCCCTAGCCAATTAGGCCACGGGAGCGCCTTGTTCTCTGCCCCCGCTTTGCCCCTTAATCAAGACTAATAACCCTAAGACCTTAGACTTTACATGCTGCCACCATGCACTCACTTAACTAGCATAGCTGCCAACCCGCCTACGTGCTTGCTTGCCACGCGCCGGGGCTTAATGCAAGCGATTTCCCAACACAATCAAATGGCTCTCTGTCCCTCGCTGCGACTTTTATTGCACTAACCTATCCCTTCTGCTTAATGAAGGCTAGCCTATTCGCTTCAAGCCGTAGCTATCCTTTTTCGTAGTAGTGTGAATACAACTGGGCGAACGAAACCCAGTTTACAGCGATACAGTGCATTCCAGAGTATAGCTGGCAACCATCTTATCGGGTATAGCGCGGCTCGTAAGTCTTGCGGAAGTGAATCAGCGGCATCCCAGCGGTGTACGGGGATCACAGATAAGTCAAGAGAGCAGAAGTAGCATTTCGGGGGGGTGTGGGAGAAAGCGAAACCGGGTAGCACAACAACAAGCACAAAAAGGGGCGCTACTGGTTACGAGAGGCAGTGAGTATTCCAGAAAGTGCAGAAGTTGAGAATGTGTCTGTTTAGGAGATTGCGGGATAAGAGGACCAATGGTGGCTTTGTGGTGTAGTGGTAGCATACTCGTTTGGGTCGAAGTGGTCTCGGGTTCGATCCCCGACAAAGCCCTCTTTTCTCGCTTTTTCCTACAGCATCACGGAACATGATCAGTAGCGCTCGCCGCGGAGCGGAACTTTGCGTTGCTGCGTCTTCGCGCGTGCCGTTTCTGCCTTCTCGACTTGCGGCGTCCGTGTCCGCGGACGGTGCTTTTACTCACGTTTCTGTCGCGCCATGAGTTGCTTTTAGACTCGAACATCATCAAACAGTACTCGGGCTGTCGCCATACGAAGGTTTTTGATTTTCTTTTCGTTTACTCGACCTTACATTCACATGTGCGCATAGTCGTGACATCAGCCTCTGGGCCGAAAAAGTATAGGAGGATTGTGCGTTGAGCCCTCTTTTTCTCGCTTTTTTCCTACAGCATCACGGAACATGATCAGTAGCGCTCGCCGCGGAGGCGGAATACTTTGGAAACTATCCACTTGACTGATTTAAAGCAATTGTGCTTGTAAGGTATTCAATGGATTTTCCCGTTGAACCGGTACAAGTATTGATAAGTTGCTTTCGTACTCGAACATCATCAAATTATTCTACAAGGTATAAATAGTTCTATAATGATTTTCTTTCGTTTACTCGACCTTACATTCAGGAGTTCCTTACACGTGACATCAGCCTCTGGGCCGAAAAAGTAATAGGAGGATTGTGCGTTGAGAAGAGCTGTCACGGCTTGATCCGACTGCTAACTTTCAGATTCGTGTTATTCCAAAGTCTTCGACACACTTGCTTATACTTTGGAAACTATCCACTTGACTGATTTAAAGCAATTGTGCTTGTAAGGTATTCAATGGATTTCCCGTTGAACCGGTACAAGTATTGATATTAATAAACGGATCTCAATCTAAGTTCTATGTATTGATTTACTCTCCTGTTCACGAATTGGAGAATTAATTATTAATACCATCCCAGTAATGGTATTCGGAGAAACTGTTATTAAAACAGCTCCAATCACCGACTCGAAAGTTGCGTACTAGAGTCCAAGTGTAACAACAGATTGTCCCGATGTGCGTAAGGCATCATTAGAATTCCGAGTTCAAGGAACGACTTACTCCTATATTCAACCTTCAGTTGTGATTGAGAAGGCGTCACCCGTGGCAGAGCTGTCAGGGCCACTAGGAATTCCAGCAAATACAGGATGTGGCGGATTTATAAAGTTTGAGCTTTGCAAACGAGCTCCACGCTTACTTGATGCAATTTGTAGTGACTTCTCTTTCTCATTCTTTTTTTATATCTTTGATTACACAAGAGAATTAGTTATTCAACATAAACCAAATCAACATTATTACTAAGTTTCATTATTTAAACGAAAACGGTGAACGCCAGAAGATCGGTCGTTCAGTGCTAAGTAGTCTGCACCATTCACTTTGTGCATATACTTCAGTGTATGGATAAATCGCGGTTAATTAAGAATTTATTATATTTTACCAATCTAAACTTGTTGTTGAAGGTGAATAGTTTGTGGCCTAAAGTCGCCATAAAGATCTGAAGTCGAAGCCAAACATTATATTTGTCTTGTGCCGTAACAAAAGCAACACGCATCAGTGGTGTAGCGGTAACATCAATGCCTTCCAAGCATTAGCTCCGGGTTCGACTCCCGGCTGATGCAAAAGCGTCCTCGTCTTTCCATCGATTTTTTGCTTTGCTGCTGCTGTGCTTTCTGTTAAATGCCCTTGACACAGTCGGTCTAGTTACCGGCAACCTCTCCATAGCAAACGACAGAGTACTGCTTCTATACTCGACGCGTTATGCTGCAAACCTTTGGCGCTCAAAAAGTTGGGCTGTCCATAGAAAACGGTAGTCTCAGCAAGGTTAAGCAAGATAATACAATGTCTTCATGAGTTGCTACTCTTAACCGAGACACGGGTGAACTTTACTGATTATACTCTGCTTGTAAACAAAATTAGTTATTAATTCTATTTTATCTGATTTCCTATTCAAAACCGTCTTCATGCACATTAACAGGATCTGCAATCCGTTGGGACTGCTTGCCCCCTTGGTTGCTTTGTAACGCGACGTGGTGCGCCACTTGCGGGTTCGTAGTTCAACGATGCCGCGGTCGCCAGCAATTGTTGGGGACTCAGGCGCGTATCAAATAAGCATAAAGCCTATTGTAAGCCTCGTGAAGCCCGTCACTTAGTATAGTAACGAAATCTTTTCTACTAAAGATCGACTAAATGGGCCTCGATTTAGCGTTTGGACTAACGGCAGCAACACTGTAATCCTAGTAAGGTTTTTTACGGTAGCCGTTACCAAAAAGGTCGAGTTTTAAACTTTATCCGTAATAGAATTTGTAGCTAAAAGGTTTTCTCCAAATATTTCTCTGTTTATACTAACCGCCGTGCAAAGTGGTACTTTACTAGCACTTTCGTGGTTTAGCGACATTGCGTTTGCCTGTGCACAGGACGAGTTTGGGATACGCTTCACGACTGTGATTTTGTTATTTTGTTATTTTGCATTTTGTATTTTGCATTTTACGGTTTACGGTTTAGACTCACATAAAGACTCACATAAATAAATTTTCATCGCGTTACTCTGCGAAATATGTTTATGTATCTTTTTCTTTTTCTTTTTCTTTATAGTTATTTTTATTTTTATCGTTGTTTTTTTTTATTTCATTTCTCAAGTTTATTTTCTATTCTGTATTGATGGTCAATAGTCCAAGCAAATGCAACAACTAAACGTTTTTGCCGTCCGGTGGGGACAGCCAGGCACATTATACAGCATGCGTTGTTAGATCATTCTCGTGATTGATCTCTCGCCAGCAGAGCCACGCTGGTATTAGGGGGGTTTTCAAAATAGACTTGGCAAGTTGCTGATGAATGGTAGAGGAGGCGGCAGCAATGCAAACCCGTCAAATCTGGGTCTGCATTGCCGGTGGGCCCTAAGGTATTGTTAGACAGCCCGTTGTTGAGCTTTGGTGTTGAGCAGGATGTCACGGGCAATGCTTGGAGTATCTGGCTAGTAGCATGTTGTTCGAATACTGGAGCTGCATCCGTCGCATTACGTCATCAAAGGTGGAGTCTTGTTGAGAGGATAGCAGAGAGCAGAGAGCAGAGAGCACCATCGGCACATCTTGAGAAGCGAACCCAGAAAAGTACAGCAAATAGGGAAGAGCGACGACAGAGAGCAGTTGCGGGCATATGATGCAGTGGTAGCATGCTCGCTTTGCATGCGAGTCGTCCTGGGTTCAATCCCCAGTGTGTCCATAAGCTTTTTGGTTGTTGTCGAATACTAAACTGGTCAATAAGATACCTTCTCCTCATAGCTCCTAGTTCGTAATATTCATTTACGAAGTCTTAGCGACCAGTACGTTGATCTTCTAATCTATCGTTAAAACTCTTTATATCGGCCTCCGCCGTTGACAGTATTCGACCTATCCGAGGTTAGAAGAATCAACGAGTCTTCAAGGAAACCTTTTATTGATTAGAACATTTTCAAATTAAATTGTCATTTACCTCATATCGCTCCCCGCAAAAGTTTCGCAAATGGAATCGGCTTCCGCAGGCGCACCCCTTACACGTGAGGATGTTCTCGCCATAGTCGCGCAATTATTGAAAGGACAAAACTCAGAAGCGCAACAATCGGCTACAGAAAATTCAAGCGCGCAACAGAAAATTGAAACGCGAGGATCATCCATTGTTCTTCCAGACAGCCTAATCCAGATTGAGGAAGGCCTGATCTACGAGGAAGGAATGGATCCAGGCGTATATCTCCAGAAAGTGTCAGATTATTTTAGACGACACTATAGCGACGCGTCAAATAAAGTTAAATTAAAAAAATTGAGTCAATTCCTACCAGACAAATTTATTAGAAGAATTGAAGGAAAAGAAGAACAATTTAACACTTGGGAAGAAGCCGCGTTTGCCGCACTTCAACCCGAAATAAATCAAAAGAAAAGAAACATGCTCCGAGAAATTGGACGACTCCGCGACGAAAACTCCTTTATCGCCTTTAGTCGGGAGTTCATTAAATATTGTCGCATGCCGCGCACGACAATGTGGGACGCAGTTGTCGCTGGGTTACTCGCAGGAGTTGACAGAAGAACGCGCCAATTCTACTTGAAGGAGCATTTGGAAGAGTCAAATCTATCGGAAATTGATAGCATTATTGGATTCCTTGAGGATTTTGAACAGAGAGAAGGAAGGAAACATGCTGTTCCACATCCAACACATCATTATCAACGTCGCAGAGAATATAAACCATTCAATGCGTACAGACCGAAGAGATTTACAATGGATGAGCGCGATAACCGTTACCAGAAACATTTAGACCACACAAGTTTCAACACAGACATCCATTCAATAACAAATTTAATCAAACGCACCGCAATACAACAAAATACGACAATCAAAGACCGCAAGAATGACTGAACGGCCTCATCAATTCGCTGATCATCGAGGATCAAGGCGACAGTGGAACTAAAGGAGTCTACTTGGAAATATACATCAAAGAAATCGAAGATTACGAAGAAGTATTTGTCGACGGAGGCGCATCAAAAAGCTTCGTATCGATCAAATTTATTGAGAAACATCAACTTGCATATTTACTACTTGAAGAATCAGAAACTGTGATAGCAGCAGGAGGAAACCTTTTGGAAGTTCTAGGAATCATCGAACTCACCATCAATTTAGGCAATCAGCCTATAACAGCCGAATTTAGAATTATTGACAATATAGCAGCCCAAATCATTATCGGACACGATATTTTACAAAGAGGTTACATTGTGAACCATAAAACGAATGAAGTTATTGAAGCGACTCACATTGAAGAACCTGAGGAACACGAGTCAGCAGCAACAGAAAGAATTTATACAATGGAATTGATTCCATCGGAATACAGCGATTCCGAAAATGAGGATATCGAGAAACCAAAAATAACAAAAGCTACAATTCCGGAAACATATCGAAACTTACAGATTATAAAATGTGCACCGAAGATCTACTTAAATGAACATTCAGTTCTAGATCTCTGTTTGGATTTAGTCGACGAAAGAGCACATTGGCAAGCACCAT